AGTACCACTGCTCCTCCGTATTGATAAAATACAGAGAATTGACCAATGCAGTATCAATAAACTTAACCATGCAGCAAAACTACAACACTAATCCTGCCTGTAGGTCTTCCAGGCAGCTAAACAAAGCCCAAAGTTCCAGATTCGAACGCGTAGCACACGAACAGAAGTTTGAAATTTTCATACACACAACAGCACAGTACAGGGTAGTCAGAGCGACCCAGGAACAACTAGCACAACGGGGCGAACGTACAACGAGCAGCAAGGCTATACGACACACTCGAGCACAAGAGAACAAGGTTCCACGGACTTCCTGCCGGGACCCGAGTCACCCGACGCAAAACAATTTGAAAAATTCGAAATCAAATACAAGTTACGGCAACACATTACGCAGAGTAGACAATAACAAAGGCATTCCCACCTGAGTGGGCGCTCTCATGAGAGGCTAGGCCGTTCGTGAGACATTGGTGGGGCGGCGAGGAGAAGAGGAATACGAGCTGACGTCGACGAGCTTCAGGGTCGTGGGAAAGATTAGTTGGGCGCCAAATGTCGTCACGGGTTTGAAACCGGGAACGAACTGCCTATACGCTCCTCGCCACGCCACACACCAAAGGACTAGTGCAAATTGAGGAAGAGCTTTTTCTTCTACTTCATTTCAGTAGGCGACTGGGGAACTCATAAAGAAGAACCAACACTGACAACGAACGACTGACGACTGACACTGAGACAAGACGAGACAACAGAATATATTATAGTGAAGGCGTACAACGGGAACAAGATGAGCAAGTGTGTACACAATGGGGACAGAAGACGATGCAGCCGCATGTACGCAGGAGTCAAAACAGCGCAGCAGCGTGTACCACGACTCAGCAGCATGTACAACAAAGAGACACAAAAGCAGCCACATGTGCGACAAAGAGCTACACGTGCAACCGCATGTACTACGAAGAGACACAAGCGCAGCCACATGTACAACAGTATCATCAAGTCCTTGCATGAGTCGATGGAGGTGAAGGTCCGCATCGAGGGTGGTGTCACTGCTGCCATTAACGTAAACACACACACACACAACCTGGTGTGAGTGTAAGAGCATGAGCACACACCTGCACACAAACACACACATGCATGCTTGCACAAACACACCCATATGCACAGGTTTTTTATTTTTTTATTTTATTTATGGATTCCCCAAAGGCCGAGGCCTAAGTCGAGGGGGTCTCCGTTCATGGCTTACTGGGAATATATCTGAAAAATTATAACAATATTGAGAAGAGGAAGGGTTATAACAAATGCATACTGTAGAAATCAGCCATACCATTCTTTACTATGTTATAGAAACTCTGGAAGGAATGAAACCAGCGGGTTCGAAGCGGGTGTTGGCAAAGATAGTACGGACACGAGACACAAAGCAATGACTATTTTGGGTGGTTCTAATGTCAGTGGGGAGAGAATTCCAGGTGGCAGCGGTAACAAAAAGGAAGGTGGCACGCGAGTAGCTGTTCGCCCTGGCAGGCGGTACAAGTTGGAGAGGGCGCCGCGCGCTGGTGGAGAGACTATAGCCCAGCTCTATAAGGGCAGTGGTCTGGTGGTGGACCAGGTGATGGAGCTCCCGGAGGCACTGGATGTGTCGCCGCCATGCCAGACTGGGCCATTGCAGGTGCGCGAACAGAGATGCCTTCGGTTCAATAGCGGAGGGAAACACACCGTACTGTCTCAAGACGACTCGTGCCAATCTGGCCTGCAGACGCTCAAGCACCGCCGCTTGGGATGCGGACAGTTGGAACTGCCACAGTGGCGAGGCGTATTCAATGGTGGGTCGGACATAACCAGTATAAAGCCGGTTTGTAACTTCCGGCGTTAGGCGGCTCGACATGTGGGCAAGTAGTACCACGCGTTGGCGAAATTTGGTGGTGATTGTTTCGATGTGGCACTGGAAGTTGAGGTGGCTATCAATTTGCGCGCCAAGATGTCGGTGTGTGTCGACCGTGCGCACTTCTTCCTGGTTCATTCGCAGGTGCCCGATGTTTGGAGGGTCCGGTCCGTTGGTACGTTGGGAGAACGTCATTTGGAAGGACTTCGTGGGGTTTCGTACACGAATACACATGCATGTATGCACACACACACACACACACACACACACACACACACACACACACACACACACACACACACACACACACAACCTGGTGTGAGTGTAAGAGCGTGAGCACACACACCCACACACAAACACGCACACATGCATGCTTGCATAAACACACCCACATGCACATGTACACGCATACACATGCATGTATGCACACACACACTCAAACACACACACACACACACACACACACACATACACACACACACACACACACACACACATACACACACACACACACACACAGGCATGCACGCATATGCACACATGCATGTACACACTCACTCATGCATGCACACATGCATGGACACACTTGCGGATGCATGCACACATGCGCACACATTCATGCACACACTTACTCCCTCATGCACACCCTCGCACCCGCATGCATGCACACACGCTCACCCGCCCGCAAGCTTGTGCACACATGCATGCACATACTTACTCATGCACGCACGCGCGCATACACACACACACACACACATGCATGCACACAGTTATGATATCTGCTTCGCCCTGTTGCTTCGCTTTTGCTCTTGCGCATTACATGCCACCTTAATCAGTATCACCGACATTGAGCAAATGAATCACATGAATGGAAAGCAGTAGCACTGCGCGGCTGAGCTGGCTTGAGTATCACAGTAAGGTCACTCATCGACATGTCCAAGGCATTTGATAGAGTTGACCATCGCCAGCTTATTCAAATCCTCTTTGAGTTTGGGCTTGGTGGTGTGGTGCTGCAGTGGTTTTGTTCATACCTGTCCGAACGTCAACAGTGTGTCAAAATCAAAGACCAGATTTCAACGCCAGTTCCATGCTCCAGAGGTGTTCCTCAAGGAAGTGTACTTGTACCTCTCTTATTTGTTCTCTACATAAGTGATATAGCGTCTGTGCTTCCACATGAAGTTTGCAATCAAGAGTTTGCAGATGATATCGTTGTTGATTACTCCGACCGTGACCCTGCTGTTGTTTGTGCTGTGCTCACGACAGCAGTCACCAATCTTTCGTCCTGGCTTGAGGACAAAGGTTTGCTATTGAACTCAGCTAAGACTCAAGTGATGTTTATTCGTCCCAGAGGTTTGTTTGACGCTGCTCCGTCACTCGTCACCTGCAACAACAGTGTTCTGCAAGTCACACACGTGGCAAAATACCTCGGTGTGTTGATTGATGACCAGCTAACTTGGGCACCCCACATCGAGTTTCTGGCGAAAAAATTGGCGGCGACCACTGGACAGCTTTGGAGGCATGGCCGGGCCTTGTCACTGAAAGCACGTCGAATGTGGTATATGTCTATGATACTATCTCATCTCTGTTACGCCTCTAATTGCTTCTTTCCTGCGCTTTCACGGTCTCTGCTAAATTGCCTTGTAAAACTGCATAAGTCTGGTATTCGTGCTGTGTTTCAGGCTCCCCGGCGCACTGCAACAGCTCCCTTGCTTGCTAAGTTATCCATGCCATCACTTCACCAAGTCCTTTTACAGAAGCTGCTTGTATTTGTTTTCCGGTCTATACACGGATCTGCAAGCTCTCTCTTTCAAGATTATTTTGTATTACTTGCCCAGCCTCAGATACCACTTGCTGATCGTATAGTCACCCGTGGGCAGCTGCATAATTTACTTCGCATCCCATTCCTACCCAATCCTGCTGGGAGATGTTCTATCCAATTTCTGGGCAGCACCACATGGAACTCTCTACCTGATGCTACCCGCTCTCTAACAAACCTTGTTCATTTCAAAAAATCTCTTTCAGATCTTGATCTCACTTCACTCCATTAGCTATTGACACACGAGTACGTTCTGTCCCCTGTCCATCATCAATATTATCTACATGTACAACCACAACACACATAAAATACACTGCTGCATGGTATTTTTATAATTGCCCTGCTGACGGTCATGACATCTTATCATATTAATCTATCATACTATTATATTTTTCATCATAGCCTAGGAGCTGTGGCATCATTTATGATCCACAGCAAGAAGGCAGCAATGCCTGTACCTATGGTGAAGTAAAATAAAGGTAACATAACATAACATAACATCTCACCAAGGCAAGAATTGGGGGCATTCAAGGCTTGGTCTAATACCTAGCCTGTTGGAAACCGGCTTGAGTTTTCTAAGATTGCAATGACAACGTGCAGTCGTGTGCAGGGCCACCCAACAGGCGTTCGTGGGTTCAGGAAAGCTATAAACGTGTTGCTAGGCAACAGTAAAAGCGCTTGGCGCGTATCACCCTGCTCATGCAATGCAACGCGCACGTTCCTGTAGGGCATCATGTTACCCTTTTGCTGCTTGGTACCACATTACCCGTCACTGGAATCAGACTCATGCCCCCGGATACCTTTCGACCAATTTGTGCTTAATTTGACTGGGTTGTGCTGGTAGCATAATATGGTTTATGGGGGGCAGTGGGGAGCGAAAGCACCATCTGGCCTGTTCACGAAACCGTTGTATTATTATGTACACTGCATCAAACCTATAGACACAAAAAGGTGACTGTACAAGAACTATTTCTCTTCTATTATCCTTGTGTTTATTTTGACCTCTGTCATTCCCTAAAACTTAAAAAAATCGATGCACGCAAATTTGTGTGTGAGGTGCATGCGTTGGTACAGTGAGGGCCGCATCCTACCAGTCTGAAGAGCTTTACAGAAAACACGAGCTTTCTAAAGTCTGAAGAAATGTTTAATAGTATCTGCTTGGATGACGTCTACACCATAACTTGTGTTTAATTACAGCATTCCAGGCATATGTAAAGGTCCTTGGTTTAAGTCCTGGTGTTCTCTTCACCTATTTTCGCTATTTAGTCCCTAAAACTGATCAATATCTTGATATTTACCTTACATTTTTTACTCCAGCTGAACCACAAACTAATATAACAGCAAGGATAAATGATCAAGCTCCAAAACATTCAGGTTCTGTATCAGTAGGGCATAATGAAGTTTTAAATCTAACATGCAATGTCCGTGGGAAAGCCACATATCAATGGAAAAAAGGATCTGCTAACATTGGAACATCGGAGCATTATAGTTATCCCGATTTTTCCCCAAGCACAACAGTAGCACCTCAAGTGACAATTTCATGTCATGGGACCAATATCGATATTGACAGTAGTATACAGGAAAGAATGAGCTCTGCATCCATCACAGTGGACCAGAAACTAAGTAAGTATCCGACCTGTTTGTATTTTGTGTTTTTATTTCACTGATTCCCCAGAATCAATATAAATGACGGCTTTGAGCAGCAAAGCCAAGTTAGCCCACGCATGCACGTGTTTTGTCACGGGTTCGTCACGCGGCATATGAATAAAAAATATTTTTTCCGAAAACGGTGGATGAAAAAATAAATCTTGCGTGGCCGCTTTGCCCTGCCTCGTGTCAGCAAAGCAACTTCCTTGTCAATAATTTCTGTCATCCAGTTAGGCTGTGTTTACATGAGAAATTTCAACCCGGGTCGAGTTCAGCCCGGGTTGAAAGTCTGTACGATAGACAAAAGAGGTGAGCGTTTACATGAAGACAGTTGACCCGGGTCAAATACTGATATGCCGCCAAAAGTCCACTTCTACAGTCCTGTATGGTCACGTGAATCCGTTCGCGCGAAATTTGCATCTGCAGTGCCGTTCAAACCTGGCGCGAGATACGCACAGAAGTACGTTTGTACGATTTTCTTGACCCGGGTTGATTTCAACCCGGGGCGAAATTTCAACCCGGGTCAAGCGCAATGCGTCATGTAAACGTGCAATTCATTTTATGCACATGGCGGGTTGAAATCTGACCCGGGTCGAACTCAACCCGGGTTGAAACGCCTCATGTAAACACCGCCTTAGTCAAAGTGACTCAAGGTCGTGTTTTCTCCGTTTTCTCCTTTGAATTAAGTGACTCAAGGTCGTGCTTTCTCCGTTTTCTCCTTTGTCTCTCCGCCAAGTAATATAGAATGCTTAGTATGCTGAGAAAGTACACAGATACCGTGAATAGATGCCTGTGATTGATTGGGGAGCACTGCCACGGGTTGGCATATCTAGTGCTTTTACCCGTACTACAGCGGAAGTTTCACCCGTAAAATTGCCCGATCGGCTTGAATTTTGGATTATTCCTATGGAGGTGTGTGGAAAACCGTTCCAAATACCTCATGAAAACCATTTCTTCAATTTGCATAGGTTGTTTAACAAAATCCTTTAGCTAGAAACCAAATCCTATACCGTATTTCCTTGAACACCCATATTCAAAACTACAAAAAGGGTACGGCCCTGAAAAAAGGTTCTACGTCCCAATGTACGTGCTGTATGTGTAGAGTTCACATACAATGTGCACTGTTGAACCTTCGTTCTCCAAGTACACTGTAGGCTAGTGCATCTTCATTTCTTTTCGTGTTGCACTGGAGAGATTATCATGGTGAAGGAACTTGAGGCGCGACTAGCAAGTTAGTTGCATGTTCAGCAGCAGCAGTCCATCATGGCGACGGGGATGAAGTGGAGGAGCTCCAAGAAACGTCGACGCTGAAAATTTTGGATGCAATTTTATAAAGAACGCCGCAAGTTTTGTTCTCTTTCTGCATTCGTTCCTTTCACAGTGTCCACTTTCTCCTAGACAGGTTTTCCGATCTGAGTTCTTGGTTTTGTAGATTTGACAATCCTTACTGCGTCTAACGTTTCGTCCGTTTACTTTGTCCGCATACTATTGTCTTTTTGGGTGGTCGATAAAATAACTCGTCTTGCTCTTCGTTATGTTGTGAGGTCATCATCATGGGGTGTTCGATTTGTTCCCTTCTTCAGATCGCCTTTGAGTCCTTTGTCCGAAGCGAGAGCAGCACTAGCTGCATGTTAAGGAGCATGAAGTCGTAGCTGAAGGTCATCTCGTAGCTATGAAATTGCGTCTAAATTGTGAACTGCTCTGCACTTGTGTACAAATAACCCCCAGTTCAAAGAAACTGGCGGCGCTTATTCAAGGGTGGCTGGTAATCAAGGGGCGACGGGTGTTCAAGGAAATACGGTATATAGGATTTGCTAGTGACAGTTTAAGTGATAAGTGGTGCTCTTGAGACCCAACCTTCCTCTGCCTACTGAAGCTCAATGAAGAGGGGTGAATTCCCCGAAACACTAGAGAGGTTCTGCACAACGAAAGTTCGAACGAAGTTTCGCGGCCAGCCTTGCGAAAATGTGTACTAATTTTCGCACGAACTTTGTGTTCTGCACATTTTCGTGGTTTGCACGCGCCAAGTGCACGTACACTATGACCCGATCTCACGAAACTTCCTACGAAAGTTCATTTCCCGTTCAATGCAAGTTTCGCGTCCAAAGTTGCGAAAGTTCGTCCGAAGTTTCTCACTTCGTGACGTAGAGCAAAAGTTCGTACACATTTTCGTTTTGCATAACCTCTCTATTGTGTATTGAACAGGGAGTGGCACTTTCTTGCAGGTTTGCCGAATCGAAGGTTTGATGAGCTCCTCCAGTGCACCGGATGGCAGTCATAAATCATTTACTTGTCAAGTCAATTCGGCGGAAAAGTGCGAGCTCTGGTGTGGGGAGCGAACACCTTTTCTAACCAAAAGGACAATGATTTTTTTGGGGGGAGGGGAAGCAGGGGCATTATAGCTACTTCCTCCGGAAACGAAAACTTCCTGACTTTTTCACATGGGTTTTCAAGGAGTCACTGTGTTCAAAAAAACTGTTCTATTGGAAGAGCAACACTTGAACACATTCAATGAACAAGTGTATAATGTATGTGTGGCTACAACTTCCCGACTCTGTGAAGACTTCTGCATCATTGAAAGAATTTAAAGTGAATCTGAGGGCCTGCTGATGACTGCGTGCACCATAATAAAAAAACTAATCAATATAGCTTTTCGGCTGTTTCCTTTTCATGTATATAATCTTCTCCTTCTTTTGGCTATCATGGCTGGCTATTACCCACATCTTCCCGTTTTGGCTGCCATCGGAAGCCATAAGATGTTGAATAAATAAATAAATGTATACAAGATCGATTGATGGGAATATAGTCTCAGTCTGAGTCGCCATTGCTCAATTCATCACCGCTGGAACCAACCAAAGTGGTAGGTCGATCGACGCATTCTCACATGTCACGGAGCACCTTCTTCGTGTCCCTGATGATCTTGCTGCTACTAGTACATGATTGACACCAGTGCCTTCCCTAGCATCTAGGTGGAGACCGCGTTGGCGCTGGTACTCCTTATCGCCTCCTCTCGAGGATGCCTCGGAACGACGCATACAGGCAAAGCCAAACATTTTCTCATTTTCTCCGCGGGGTAGTCGTCCCATCACTTCATGGCTGCTGCAAAGAGATCTCACCTCCTTTGCAACCAAGGAGACATCGGAGTGGAGGCAGCTGAAAAAAGCGAGATCATCCATGTTGAGGTACGTGCTCCGCAGTGGCTGAAGAACAACTTCGATTTTGAAGTTTTTAGTCGTGCTCTCCTGCGCGGTGTCACATCTTTGGGTTTTGGAATTTTGACATCTTACCGACCTGTTCGCACATTGGCTGGTGTTTCTGGGGATAACGCAGATTTCAAAATGCTTGCTGCTATCCCTTTGACACTTGTCCTGCTCCTTGGTGCCATTATCCTACTCTTTCTCATTCTGAAACAAAAACTGACAGCGCTGAGCCTTTGATGGCAATGTGCCTTGTGGGCAAAAATGCAAAAGATCTTCGCTTCGCTTGGCTTACAGCACGAGATCCTTCCCTTGCGATGACTGTCGACTTTCCAGAATATGAGTAATGCCTTCCTATGGTTCGGAATGTCATCTGTTGGTGTTACATACCAACAGAACCAGAGACAGAGAGTGACAGAACAGCAGAGAAAATTAGTGGAAAAAAGTCACGAAGTGTTTTTTCCGGAGGAAGTATTATTTATTCCAAAAAAGTATCCGCAATTTGTAGATATGGAAGATTATTCACCAACGTTGGTCATCTTGGCAGAAATTCAATCGATGGATATAATGCAATTAGCCAAGGAGTAATATTGTCGGCAGCAGACTTTTAAGCATGTATGTGTTGTAGTACGTTATTTTGTGTACGTCGTGAGGACGTGGTGTTGGTGCATGCACGTGTTGCTGTGGTGTGAAAAGCAGTCTTCGTCTTGAGTTCGTCATGTGTAGTTGTGTTTCCATAGTCGTCTTGCAATAAACAGGCTTTCCAATGTAGTTATCTTGTCATCCATTGTATAAGTGTGGAGATGGCACGGGCCTGGGAGCAGGTGGAGAAAGGCATTCACAACGTATAAACTTATGCCACAAGCCCAACTAATCCCCAGACTTCTGCTGCCAAATCGCCAATTGAATTTTCAGAGAAGAGAAAGGTGCCAAACCTGATGCGGTGTGCATGATGTCTAGTGTGGCTGTCACAGGAACATTTGGTTGGAAGCGTTGTTTGAAAACATCCATATTGCAATCAGTACTGGCCAATATCTGGCCAGCTTCATCACCTAGATAAACTGGCGCTGGCTTTTGCTATGAGCGAAGTTTACGAATGCTACATGTAGCATTAAGGTATTATGACGTTGGATTGGGTTTCAAGCTGCCAGCTAATTCTGCTCGTCATCGCCATAAATCGTGGCCATCCTTGCGGTGAATTGATCTGATGTGGAAGCACACTTGTTGAGCCTTCAGATCCTTCCACCACTCTATTCTGCGTGTATTCCAACTTACAATATTGTTCACACTTGGAACACGATGCACATGTATCTAGCGTGCACATTCTTTTAAGAATGTGCACGCTAAAATGACTATTCTTTGGTGCACTGCAAACTAATCTAAAACTGTTGTAATGTTATAATATCCATATAAAACCGCTCTGTGAGCGGTTCTGAAAAACCTTTACTGGTACTGCCCCGTCGTAAAAGTAAGAAATTAGAACTGGTCCATTGTCCTCCCAAATGCGAACTGATCCACCTAAATCGCGAATGACGGGACCCGAACGCACCAGTAGCACGAGGTCGGGAGGGCACAGGACAGCAATTATCATAGGGTAACACCACCTACCGCTAGTACAGTACATGGCCTTTGGTCCGGACCAACGTCCCCATCTGCGTCCACAGGTAGGAACCTCGTGCTACTGGTGCGTTCGGGTCCCGTCATTCATGATTTAGGTGGATCAGTTCGCATTTGGGAGGACAATGGACCAGTTCTAATTTCTTACTTTTACGACGGGGCAGTACCAGTAAAGGTTTTTCAGAACCGCTCACAGAGCGGTTTTATATGGATAATTTCAGTTCTTTTTCCGTTCCCTCCCCACCCCAACCCCGAAGATAAACATGATGACCACGCGCGATGTACTGTATGTAGCCATGAGACTGCAATAAAACACTGATACATACCAGCCTTCCCCGCCTCGCTACCCCGCACACAGATACACAAACATGCATATGCACACGGCACACACACGTGGCCACGCACACATACGCACATGCACACGGCACACACACGTGGCCACGCACACATACGCACATGCGCACGACACAAACAGGAAATTCTTCATATATAATGCCATGCAAAGCAGTGGCCACCGTACTTGAGGAAGTCAGTTGTGAAACAAAAATAATTCAACTACAGCGTGTAGACAAGCTGACGGCCAAAGCACAACATAGCAAACATGACATTTGCCCAAGGATTGCAGTTTGCAGACCACGCCATGGAAGCAGCGAATACAGAATGTAATATCATACAAAGTGACAAGAAAGGAAGTGGCCATCATACACCAGAAACTTGCAGAAAGTCACACATCCAACAGATAGAGAAGTGAACAGCAATCTGATACAGCCCAGACAGGACAAAGCTGACCTGATACTCGTCCCAGGATCGCAAGTGGCAAATCCTTTTCAATGCATAACATGCACGTGTACGTTAGACGCATGGACAACATCTGACCGTGTCGCCAGCATACAATGTCATCACATGTTTACCCCACAAGTTACACACATGCACAGTAGAAGCACAATGAAAGCAATGGAAAAGTACGATGTGGTTGCTGAAGCATCTTCACACTTCAAATTCAGACTTCAATGTGGTCGTCACGGGATGATATACCTGCAAGATACAAGTGATGAAGAAAGAAAGCAGAAGGTCGTGAGGTAGGCTATGAGTAGTCCTTTCCCAAAGATGCCATAGTTTTTCGCAACTTATGCTTTTCGCAACCGTGCCAAAACAAGTGCTAGTTGCTGAAATCGCATCCATATTTTCAGAAAAAGCTCAAAAGTTGCCAACATCGCAACTCAAAATTGGAGAGTTCTTGTGCAAAACCTACAAAACAGGGAGCAGAAATAGCAGAAATGCAGCGATGCTGCGACAGCAAACTCGTACACCCCTTCCTGCTGTGAACCACCATTTTACACAGTGCCAGTAGCCTGTTGCATGTATCCTACATGTACATGTACATCATTACAGTGCACGGAAAAGGGAATGCACATAATTATCGTAACTACCGTTGATCTACTGTTTCTCAGAAATGAGCCTGAAGGCAGGCGAGAAATGAGCGAGCACGAGTATGTATTTGTCCAACAATGCAACATGTAGTCGGTGACTTGATCTTTCGACCCCATACCATGGGGCCAATTGCGCCAAGGTTGCGGAGAAATTGCGAAATAGTTCCGAAAAATGAAGAAAGTTGTGAAAGTTGCGATTTCTTCCTAAACACCGAAAAGTTCCGAAAAAAGTGGCGAGCATCTTTGGGAAAGGGCTAGCTATGAGACACCACAAACGGGTCACCTACATGTATGTTCAGGGCTAGTGCACTCACACGCAGAATTGTCATAATCGAGCATTTCCCAAACTGAGAAGTGCAATGAAATCCACTTGCCTGCACAGGAGCAATTTTGCAATATTATGATGCGCAATTCGACACGATCTGCGATGCTGCGTGCGATGTGCCCTGCTGTCATGATGGTGACAGTCACCGCGGTATGTTTTGTCAACGTCGCCCTTGCACTCTTCTGTCAAGTCCAAAGTGCTCACATACTTGGCAATGTCTTTGCAGTGATTAACTTTTATCCTAGTTATGTCACGGGTAACTTTAATGAAGTACCCGCAGGCCGTGTCGATCCGCACATCGTCCACTCTCTCATATACTTGGCCTGCTTTGTCTGTGTATCCATTTCATGTGCGATCCACAAAATCGACTAGACAGTGGGTGCAATACGCTCTCTATCTGAAGACGTTCTTCTGGCGACATCTCGCCATGTACTTGGCCTGCTTTGCCTGTGTATCCATTTTCATGTGCGATCAACAAAATCTCAATGCACTACAGAGACTAGACAGTGGGTGCAATACGCTCTCTATCTGAAGACGTGAACCATTAAATTTGTTGGAAAAGTTATACGTACACCTGAAACGTAATGAAGTACAGGAATAGAGAGAGTGACTACAATACGCTCTCGACCTGATATAGTGATAACGTGTTAGAAGGTAACAGGTCTACAGTCCCACCGTACCCTTCCGACACGACTGTAGACCATTAAATTTTTTTGAGAAGTTATACGTACACCTTAAACGTAATGAAGTACAGGAATAGAGAGAGTGACTACAATACGCTCTCGACCTGATAACGTGAGTACAAGACACTCTCCACCTGATAACGTGTTAGTAGAAGGTAACTGGCAACATATCAATGGGTTGCCTTACCGTGGTCTAGAGGAAACGTCTTCGCAGCAATATTTTCCCTCCAGCGCATTCAGTCGCCGACGCGACATCGTTTACTGGGCCGTTCCAGTTGCGGAAGACATTCGATTCATCGGGCCAATTCAGCAACAGGGCCGTGGACACACAGGGGGCAGAGGAGAGACATTGTTAGTGGACAAGAAATATGCAGTGGCAAGTGGCGAGTGCCGCATGGATGTCAAGTTGTCATGCACAATTCAGCTATTACTTACGGTCCAGCTAGTCCTGCCATTGCTCGCTCGTCCTGGTTCCTCCTCGTTCGTCTTCCTGCACGTCTGCACTTCTCCTTCCCCACCGTTGGCTTTGCGGTACGGGGGTGGCGGAAGGAATTCCCACCATGTATTCATGTACATGAAGTCCCACCATGTCTCCATGTACATGTCCACGGCCACGTCAGCAGTTTGTATAGTACCGGAAGGAGTTCCCACGATGTCTCCAAAGGCCTAGAGCGGACGTCTTTGCAGCAATTCTTTTCACCCTGCACATTCACTCCGCCGACACGACATCGTCGACAGCGTTTACGGGGCCGTCCCAGGTGCAAAAGGTCCACGTCAGTAGTTCTCAACTATTTCGCGTACGGGATAGTCGCCGCGACAGCGTTTAAGGGGTCGTTCCAGGTGCAAAAGGCATCCATCAATGGCACTTTGCAGTACGGGGTACGGAAAGGGGCCTCCTCGTTCGACTTCGTCGACTTCTGCATGCAGTTCTCCTTCCCGTCGACCGAAAGGGGTCTCCTCGCAGTTGTCCTTGCCGTCAGGTCCACGTCATGCAGTTCTCAACTATTTCGCGTACGGGATAGTCGTCTTTGTCGTACGCGGCATCGGCGTTTACCGAGTGGCATTGGCACAAAGCAGACCGTTGACGGGGTCACGTGTCAAAAAAGTATCAACAACGTGTCGACTAAGTGTCGACCACGTGTATAGCGGTACACTCAGCGGTACACTAATTCTCGTGCCATTCTCGTGTCACAAAACTGGAACATCGAGTACCAGTATGGAAAGGCTTCAGACAGGAAGCCTTTCCAATTATGTCAATCCAGAGTAATTCAGGGTAAACAAAATCATTGGTTTAAGGCTTCTCACAAGGAAGTGATTTAAAATAAATTAGTGCTGAGTCAGGTAGCATTTTCTTCCGGTATCGGGTTCGGGTAGCACAGGTACCCGATCGAGTTATGTTTCCATGGTAACACCACAATGCACCTACACACTGGGTAGACATGCGGAGTGTTACATGTACTAGTACCCGTGTACTGTAACATGACGTCATCTGCGACTTCGGGTTTTCGGGTACTACTCTGTACCTGTCTACCCGAGGTCCTCACGTTTAGCACGGGTACCCGACTACCCGTGCACACCCCTACAATAAATGTAGACAAATACTTCAATCAATGCTTTCCTATCATCTTGATACAAGCAGACACACACAAAATGAGATGGTGAGACTACGGTGGCAACTGTCGAAGGTGGATATTCAGGGTCAATAATTTAGGGGTAGATTCCCCGAAAAACTGTAAGTTGGACAGAAATGGTGCATCTGCTCGGTGATTGTAATCAATAGTCTCTTATGGCATGATCAAGGCTCTCTTTTTCTTTTTCTTTTTTTATTTAGGCCGGCCTATTATCAGTGGAGATACCAACGTGTATATTGACTTCGTGGAAGGCATGGCTGTTACTCCATTTTCTATATGTATATCGTTCAATGTTCATCCACAGCCCGTGGCAACGGACGTTGCCTGGGCGGTTCCAAGATCAATAACGTTTCAGACTAGCTTCAAAATGATATCAGGATGCTTTGAAAGTAAAGTAACGATCGATGCTACTAGCATCCGCGAGGCATCTGGAACATATAATGTAACAGTTATGACCATGGGAGGAACAACCACATACAGCGTCACTGTCGAAGTGCGATGTAAGTATATTCCAAACTATCATCATAACACTAAACCATCATATGTGGGGTTAATGCAGTTAACCCTTGTTAGCGCTCATCACAGACTCCCACTGCTCATTTCCTCATGTTCCTTATACATAGGCATGTCCTTTTTTACCTTTGGCACCTGCATACATATGCAATGTATGCACTGCCGTACACGTCTGCAGGTGCACACTTCACTAACCGGGCAACCCGATACGCTTCCTACATGCAGCGTGCAGCACGCAGTTACCATATAAGGTACACAGGGCTGTGCGCCTGTCCCGGCTCCAGGTCACACTTACAGCTCAGCACGCATGCAGGTAAAGGTCTCACAGAACTGTGCACCTGTCCTGGCTCCGGTTTGCACTTACAGCTCAGCGATCAGAAATGATTTTTTTCTATTACAGCAGTTTGGAGAGCTCAAACTGTTTAGTTGTTGTTTTCTGCTTCTTGCTCCGCAGTAGTGGTTGGCTTGTGAATTCTTTTTGCCTTTTTCCGGTTTTCACCGCCGTCTTTGTGTGCTGCGCCAGCACGACTACCAAAAATGTCACGACCAGGAACACGTAGCCAGCCATATTCCCAACCCTTGGGCCCTGCTGCCTCTCCTGCTCCAAAGCGTCGGGCTCCCGGCTCCCGCCGCTCGCGGGTCCCAGCAAGTCACATTAGTGGTTCCGCGCCGGTGCCGACGATCGTCGAGCCTGGCATTTCAACCGTGACAGTTCAAAAAACAGGATTCCTTGCAGGCTCTGGTACGAGCCGAGGTGCAATCCGCCGTCACCACTGCCACGGCCACATGCTCCATCGCGGTTCCTGCCGTCCCAGGCTCCAGTCCACAGTCTTAGTCTCCGTCCATCACCTCCTCCGCCTCTTTTCCATCGTCTTACGCTCCCACCAGCTCCTCTTCTCTCCCGCTCCAACGCTTACTGTTTACTTCAAAGTTACTTTGTTGTTGTTGACGACGACGACGACGACGACGAACAGACTCAACACAAACTAACTCATCCTCTGCGTCCCGGGTTTCGGCACCACATTGTTACGGAATCACAGCCATTCCGTTCCCCGGGACGTAGGACACAAAGGACAAGACTTGTTTGTTTTACATTATATTATTGACATTACGGAAACTACACTCAAAGGGAAGAACAAGAAGACTGACAAAAACTCTCAACTACAAAATTGTGCATGCTCATATCACACATGCACGCGACTAGACGAGACAGTTTGGGGAATGCCATCACACAGGAAAACAACACATCCTTTAACAACACCGCTAGGCAATCATCAGACAACTGATACTCGGATCTAGCCAGCAGTATGCTTATAAACCCATAGGGCCACACGTATAAACAAGTTTAGCGCCAAATCTGGAGTAAGGTATGGGGAGACAACTGGCGCCGGCCAAGGCGCGACAGTAGAAGTGCCGGATGGTGGCGGACAACAGGCAGGGGCGAGTATGAAAGCGCGGACAGAGGCGATCGAGAGGCAGTGTACAGCAGATGGGTGGAGGTGCCAGGAGGATGGCGGGCAATGGGCCAGTGAGATTGCTAGGGGATCTTTGGGTGACGGGCAGGCGGGAGCAGAGTGGCATAGCCAACAACAGGGGAGTGTGTTATTTTAATAACACAATCCCCTGTTGCCAATTAAAATAATTGATATTGGGGTGCTCAGGCAAAGTGCAGTACAGTACTTGGTCAGTTCATTTGATAGGTGTGAAATTTGCGAGGCGGAACTTGTTCTCATGCCTGCATTTCGAGATCATCTCAGACCGCTTGTTGACCAGGACCTTCTTCGGTGTCGTCAGGATGTGGAATCTTTCTGTGACATAGATCGCATTTTTTTACTCACATCTGTATGATCGGCTCTTCTCCCGCACCTTCCATGTGATGTTCAATGGCCTCCCTTCGCTCTTCAGCTCCCATATGTGCTTTGCGAGCTCAGTGCTGTTTTTTTATTTTTCATGACGCATGGAAGTGAGGTGGATGGCGTCACGGGCTTTGAAAGGTGTCTCTGAGAGACCGATGTAAATCTTGCTGGGAGATTCGGCAGTGGCCTCGTACACTATCTCCTTGGTCTGGCACTCTCCGCGCAGCGGACAGGACTTCTTGCTTCTGCAGTTGCATGAATTGGTTTGCTCTGGCTCTCGCAGGTTACTCTTGTTGTGGCTGCTGATCACTGCTCCCATGTTGGGCATGCAGCTGTAGCTCACTTTCAGGGTGTTACGATTGAAAATCTTCCTGAGCTTGGATGTTTTCGGGAAGTGCTTAGAGACTAGGCTAAGGAACCTACCAGCGGCGTTTGTACTGATGTTCTTGGAGTAAGGGGGTTGAACGATATGACCTTCCGGCTGCGGTTCTTCCTGCCTCTCTGCTCATGTGCCTCGGGCTGAAAGCTCAGCACTTCATTATGTCCACTGGCCTTTAATGCGCTCTGGTACACGGGGGCTGCGTGGTTGAATTCCTCGGCGTCGCTTGATATAGTGGATAGACGCTTGGTGATAGCAGCAGGGATGTTGTTGGTGATTCCAGGCGGGTGGTTTGAATTCTTTATTCTCGCGATGGCACCATCGCCAATAAGAGATAAATTGATGAGAAGGTGAGATTGTGGGTTAAACAGTTGGAAAGTGATTTACATCACTGTGAACTTTACAAGTATGGGAGAGGGTGAGCGCTGGTTGGACTGCTTGCTGACGTAGAGCGGGTTGTCATTTGGCTTTCGTAAGGGTTGTAATTTCCCTGATTAAAGGTTCATCGTGACATCCAAGAAATCCTGTACCTTCAAGTTTGCTTCGATGATAATTCTTAGGTCTAAGCGCTCCAAACTTCCGTCAGCTTTCTTCTGAGGCGGTCTGCAGCCTGTGGGCTGGTGTCCTTGAGAGCGGCCAGTCCATCGTCTCTATAGAGGACGATAGCGGATCTATCGACGAGGCTTGAGAGCTGGTTGAGAAGAACGGCACCCACAAGTTCCCACTTCTCGCCACCATCGTAACTTCCCATTGTTACATCAAACATGTCACCCTTGTCCTTCATCCAGGGGAAGCCATCATGGAATAGAAGCGATTTATGGGCATGAAGGATGATGTCCATTTAACGCAGCTCGATTGTGGTGAATCGCTCCGCGAATGCTAAAGCCTCACGGAGGAACTGCTCGTCAATTGACGGGTAGAATTCTACCACGTCAAAGCATAGGAACGTGTGGCGCTGTTTGTCGGGTATCTCCTTGAATCACTCGATCACTGACATGGTGTTCCTCCATTGGTTCATGGCCTTTTGGCAACGCACAGCAGCCACGATCTCCTCCAGTATAGCCTTGCTCACCACACCCACTTCCGGCTTGGCTGGGTTAATGAGTCTGCAGGGCAGCGCTCTAACGAAGTTGTTTTTTGATGATCTTTCAGTGTTATAAATGCTTCTGACTCAGCCAGTACATCCATCCTCTTGTGAAGATCTAGACCCGCAACGATCTCCCTCGCCTCGCTGTTGACTTCATCATACGCATTCTCAGGCGCGATCTTGTAGTTTTGGTATAACGTCTTGGAGGCTGTCTGATACTTGGCGGAAGCTGACCGTTTCAGCCACGCGAATGAGGTCCTCTACAAAGGCCTTAAGTTCATCAACTTGCGGAGGACATGTCCTGCTCTTGAAGCCGAAGCGATCCTCGCCATCGAGGCAGAACAAGGCGACCCACCTCATACGCTTGATGACTTGCTCAATCCTGTCAATCAGACATTTCCAGTACTTCTTGGATGACGGTAGAGGGATGTTCTTCAGGGAATAGCCCAGTTCTATTGGAATTGAAGCGTCCATAGCTAACTTGCAGTGTAGGGGTAGAGTGCTCGTCAGAAGGTCTATATAGGTGCAGAGAAGAGGAAGGAGAAGAAGTCTGCTGTTATGTTGCATCTATTGTCCAAGCCTGCTTGTCGTGAACAGTATGACAATTCTTGGTTTAGTGTTGTCTGCTGTGCAAATATGTAAAGGAATTTCCCCCCGCTCCCCGCCACACAACCACTCTCCGACTCATCCACGCGGGCAAGAGGACGACACAGTTTCTTGAATAAGATCTCTTGGAATAAATAACTAACTGGTGGGCGGGAGAACGGGGGAGAAAAGACAAAGAAATAATAAACAACCAACAGTTATAAAACAGAGAAAAGGGCGAACACATCGAAACGACCAATCAGTGACTAATACGTACAGAACACATGACCAAGACCAAGACAACCAGACCACGGACGAATCACACACGACTCTCATTCCCAGACCAAACTAGCACTGCGCATGTACAGCATTCACTTGACAGTCACTCTCACACAGACGGAAGCACATCCTCACACTCTGACAACGCGTACTCTTGCATGCACCACATACCATAAACATCGCACATCACACCATACTCGCGCGTACACCTAGACCATAATACATCAGACACTGGACTCCACAAGACAAGAACCAAATACAACGACATGCGTAAATCATAGTCGTAACATAAATTCGTAACATAGCCCTCTCCTTTGCGGAGAGTCGACCTCGACTCTCGACTCAGGGAAAATAAAGAACAGGCAGAACAAAAATGACAAACATCAGAGGAAAGAAACAAGGGGAAACACAACCAAACGATAAGACAACGGAATGCTGTTGCCAGAGATGTGTGATCCGATTTGGAATAGGAAGCCTTCACGGAAGCAGAATCTTGGGAAATCGGCGTCTTGGTCAGTCGGTTGTTGTTGTTGGTGCGCCAAGCAGGGCAAAAAAAAAAGAAACACAGGTACAGCAGCATCTGATCAGTACAAGGTGAGGATAGCAGGAACAAAACAAACAACTGGTCACCAATACGCAAATAATATTATAGAGAAAAAACCACAGGGATTGAACCTGAAAAACCACAGGGATTGAACCTGAAAAACACGGAACTACATCCGCTTCGCAAATCATAACACCCGCAAGGCAAACCGACACAACAAAACACAGGATCCCTGCAGACCACCAGGCAGACCGTGG